AGTTAGAAATCCTGCTGTTTAGCAAAAAGACTTCATTGTGCTGCTTGTTTCCATGATGAGGGCTTTGTTTTATTAGATATGTTGGAAATATAGAAATGCACTACATAGAGGTCCTCACAAAATAACATAAGAATGTCTGTTTCCAGAACTCTTCAAACAATGATATAAACTCAGATGGGTCCTTTAATGGGTCTCTGAACTCTTTAGGAAACATCTGTCACCCCCTCCTGTCTCCCATAGCATATTACTCACTTTAGTGTGTTTAAATCCAAATATAAACAAAGACTTGCTTAGTTGTTCTAATCTAACAATGTGTTTCTAAGGAGACCAATGAGCGTGTTAAACAGGTATCTAGTATTTGTTCCCTTTGGACACCTGTTATGCTAGAATGAAGAACAGGAGTGATGGAATCAGCAGAACTGATCAGACAGAAGATCAGCAGATCGGTTCATCCTGAGGGCCAAAATAAGCGGCCCCTCCCTCGGTGCTGATATCAGATGGTGTGAAGCAGCAGGAAGGGGAGCAGTGATCTGTTTTCTCTTTAGTCTGGATGTTAGAAGTTCTGCTGGAGCCTTTAGAGACCAACGGGCCGACAGGAAGCCTCGATGTGAGGGCCAATTCACACCATACTTAATGAAAACATATAACGAGGTGGGGCACAGTGGCCCTCAGCTGCAGAGCCTCTGCAGGAACACAGAGCAGCTGAAGGCTTCCTCCTTCCTCAGAAAAACACCACAGAGACATTGTCATGTTTTTGAGAACTGATGGTTTATGTGAAGTTAAAACATATTTGATGGCAGCAAAGATGAAAAGCTGTGAATTACAGTAAGTTTGTAAACCATCCATCCATTATTCCAGCAATGCATCCCTTTATCCATCCAACCAATCAATCATCCATCCATGCATCCCTCCATCCAGGATATATAGCTCATCCAGCAACTTCTGATTCTGCATCAGGTAATTTCCCATTGAAACCCAATAATTGAGGTATCTCGGGATTGATCCTCTCTACCACTGACTAACCATCACCACTCCTTACACCCTACACCTTTTTTATTTATTTTTTATTTTCTTTATTTTTTTTATACACTTTTATTCGAGAGGTTATCATCTGCAAATATGATCGTCCTGATGATCCAGAAAGTGTACAGATCAAGGGTTAGGAAAAGAGAAGCGAACATCTGTAGATGTTAGCTGGATCTGGGTTTGAATCCGGCCTGTGGTCCTTTCCTGCATGTCTCTCCCTTTCTCATACCCCCTTTCCTGTCAGCCTACTTTCAGAAAAAAGAGCCACTAGTGCTGTAAGAAACTAAAAAAAAGGCACGAAAGAAAATATGTCAGACAGCTGTTTGTGTATTTTTGAATTGTGCTCCTTTGCAAAAGTTCTCTGTGAGGAAACACCTTTGCTGTAGTTATGCCAAGAAACACCTGCCAACTGTCAGTGTTGTGCCTGAACGCGTTCATTGAACGAAAGTTCATGAACTCGTTCATATTTTGGGCGAACGTGAACTGAACGTACTGCATTATTTCCTGATGAACGTTATTGTGAACTCGTTCATTCTGGCGTCTGTGAACGGCACGCTCTCTCAGTTCAGCTCCGTTCAATAGGT